GGGCCCAGCCCTCATCTCCCTTTCAAAGCTCCTGAGCAAACCCCGGGCTGAAGGGAGGGAGGGGGCGACTGGGGATCAAAGGGAATTTGGTGAAGCTACGCCAGGCGCGGGAGTGGGACCCCCAAGACGTGCCAAGGCTCTGAGGGAAATGAACTCATAGGCGGAGCAGGGAAGGACACAGGAAGGTCATGGATTCCTAGCCTGTTTCCCACGAGGTCTGAACTCTTTCTGTTCAACTCATAGCCTTGTCCACCATCTTCCCATCATTCCGCCTCGCTCTGACTTGCTTTAAACAGTGAGGCCCGGTCTGGTGGAGGAGCCTCTCTCTGGCTCTGTCGTGGGCCTTGGGCAGGGAAGGTACCACCCTCCCAGGCCTCAGCATCTCCCTTGGCAGAGAGACAGGATAAGCCCAGATGATTGCGTGTCCAGCTGCCACCCATGGAGTCCAAAGGGTCCTATGCCTGGGGTGGAGGCTGGGGCCATGACAGGGGCTCTGGACTCCCCATTTCCACAGCTTCAGAGCTGCTGAGTTTTCTGCTGGATTCTCACACGAGGACAAAAGATTAAGCAGCTAAATCAGGGGAGGGCGAAAACCCAATTGTTAAGATGCTTTCTGCCTTTAAATGTCTATGTTTAATTCTTCTCCTAGCCAGGAAGTTCTTCCATACGTCTGACTGAGGAATCTCATGCTGCAGTTTAAAGTAACTTCTACTCCTTCCTCTGCTCACTCAGTGAGCAGCCACTTCAGGGCCAGCACTGCAATGGGTACTCACGGGGAAGCAGCCCAGGTGGTGCTCAGGGTCTCTGACTTTGGGAAGCTTCCTGTCTGGCACTGCAGCCAGCCTCCCACTGGGAAGACACAGAGACTGGAAACAGAAGCAGTGAAACTGGAGGTCAGGTAGAGGCCAGCTTCCCTCCTGAGCCCGCAGAGCACATCTGAACTAAAGCCGGGCTCACCTGTGGCCCTGTTCACGATGGAGCAGGGTCTTTCTCATCAAGTGGGGTGGGGGGAAGGGGGGTTGGGTAGAGGGGCTCCCGCTGCTCATCAGGGATTCACAGGCACAGGGAGAGCTAAAGCAGGTGGGGGTGATCTGCATCAGGGAAGGCTGCGGGCCAGGGCAGGAGGGACCTGGAGCCCTCCACCCCAGCCACGAATCCTGGGAGCCGATGTCACACGCCGCAGGCCTGGCGGAAGGCTGTTCTCGCAGCAGACACAGTGGCTCCTCTGGTTGTCCTGCAGGGCTTACGCCACAATTGTCCCAATGAAACAGATTCACATCTGAGCCATTTTTCCTTTTGGCAAAGGCAGTACCTGGGGCCGGCTTGTACACCTGGTGCTTTGGATCAGCTTGGCTGACACTTACTGAAACTCGATTAGATGTAAGGTCCAGACTAGGTGGGGCTTAAAATGGGTGGGAGGGCCCGGTTGGTCCTCAGGGGCCAGGGAGAGATCCAGGTCAGACACAGTAGCTGGGGGTCACATGAGACAGACCGGGAGAGGCACTTGCTGGAGGGGAAAGTGCGCTGGGAAGTTGGGGGTATGGTGGGGAAGGGGTTAATCTGCCCAGGGGGGCCTTGGGGAAGAAATGGAATTTGATTTAGGATCTAGAAGGAGGGATAGGATTTCAACTGGTGGGAAAGCAAGGGGAAGACAGTCTTAGTGAAGGACAGCAAAGGCAAGGAGGGAGAATTCAGGATGCAGAGCAGCCTGGAGGGAGGGGTACACATGGCCTGGCGGCAGAGGATCTGGCGAGCGGGCTGAGGGGTTTGCTACATTGAAGGAAGGTTAGACCACTGCTTCTCAGACTATCCATTATCTGATTTGTCTCTTTTCAAATCCATCACAGACAGACACACAGTCCTCACTAAGCATGACTCGTATGCAGGTCACACCACGTGGCTCTCACACTACGGCCCGCTCGGCAGAGGAGTCCGCCAGCTCAGCTGTCACAGCAATGTCAAAACTGCTCTAAGTTTCTAAACATTTACTATTAATTTTCTTATCTCATCACTTGCCAGGGACAACCCCTGGACTTTGGGTCTGTGGACCACCCAGAATGGTACTGGGCTAGAACACAGCTCAGAGGAAGGAAGAGAGCAAATCAAGACAGGTTTACTGGAGATCTGGCTGGGCAAGGTTTCTGTCCAGCCTATCTCCTTTGGTAAGTCCTGTGGACTCCCAGAGGCTGCTTAAAGGGCTAGGAACTTGGGAATGATGAATAGAACCAAGGATAATGTTAAAAATATCTATTAACTGGGGACGGGGGTTAGGGTGTAGCTCAAGTGGTAGACTGCATGTTTAGCATACTCAAGGTCCTGGGTTCAATCCCCAGTACCTCCTCTAAAAAATAAATAAGTAAACCTTATTACCCGTCCCCCCACCAAAAAACCTATTAACTTATCATGGAAAAGAATCCGAAAAAAAGTACATATGTATAACTGAATCACTTTGCTGTACACGTGAAACACTGTAAGTCAACTAGACTTCAATTAAAAAATGAAAAAAAATTAAAAGGCAGAGTAGGGCACTCTCTGATCGGAAATGCTATGGGTGGTGTGGGTGCCTGCTGGTATACCCAGGACAGGCGCCCTGTTACAGACGAAGCCTTGTGGGCTCTTCACAAGCGTATCTCGTTTAACCCTCCTGACACCGCCGTCATCTCCATTGTCAGGCGAGGAAACTGAGACACAGAGAGGTCACATCCTGCCCAAGGAGAGCCTCTACCCTCCATCCTCTCCCGACCTCTGGCCCCCTCTGGGAGTTATAGACACCATAATTATAGTCTAGGCCCCTCTGCTGACTTTCTGTGTGGCCTTAGGCAAATCACATCCCTTCTCTGGCCCTCAGTCTCCCCACTGTAAAATAGAGAGGGTAGCGCTGGTTGAGCCCTAAGATTCCTTCCATCTCAGACATGCTGAGGTCTCTGAATCCTGGAGGAACTATCAGAGACAAACACTCAGGGATGTGGAGAACAGCAAACCCGAAGGAGGAAGCAAAGTGTTGAATCTTGGAGCACACATGTGTGCTCTGAATTTCTGCTGACAGGCACCCACTGAATTATAGGCATAAATAGCATTTTCACAACACAGACAAAAAATGCAGGTTTGCCTCACTTTATACAACCCATTCTTCCAGGTCCTTGCACAACTGACTTGCTATTTGGAATAACTCTGCTTATCTGTAAACCTTCGACCTTCCAAAGCACTGCTATGCTTACAGGTCATCAAAGCAAAGGGAGGCATTCCTATTGCTCAGATGGGTAGGCTGAGGGCCAGAGAAATGGAGCAGCTTACCCAAGGGCCCTGGTCTGGTTAGGAGAGCCAAGATTGCACATCTTCAGGCTCCACATCCACATCCACCGTTCTCCATTGTACCACTTCCCCAGGCGGGTCACTTAACACAGGGCCCACCCATCAGCAGGAAGTCACGTCTGTTTGGTATGTGAGGTCTCCGGCTCACTCTGCCTTGCTATTTGTGTCACGGTCCACTTGTCCCTGCACAGGGAGGGGTTTCGAGAGCAGCTCCCAGCTGGGCCTGCCAGTTGGAGGACACTCTATCCATCACTGCTGGGTGAGGACCTCTGGTTTCCCTGGAGAGAGGAGGCCTGAGGGTGGAGTGACAAGTAGCCTTCCTGTCTATTGACAGTTATTATCAAGGGACAGGACGGGCTGCTCCTGGGATCCGCTGAGGATGAAGCAAAGGAAAGACACTTCTACGGCAGCGGTAGGAGGTCTGGACAGTTGGTCATTTGTTCCTTCACTCCATAAGACTTTACTGAGTGCCTACTATGTGCCGGGCACTGGGGATCAAGTGAGGAACAAAGCACCCAGGGTACTGTCCTGGAGTGAACTGTCCAGGAGCAATAAACGCCCCTATTCTGGCCTTTGTTCCAACAGCACCTCCTCAGAGCTTTCTTGAGCTGCCCTTTCCAAGGTCTCTCCCCCATGCCCCCAGCTTTTAATTTTCTTCTTTTGAGAACTCATTCTATCTGATATTACACAATCACCATGTCATATACTTATTCTCATCTTTCTGTTTGTTTTTTGGGACTCCCACAGAACATCAGCTCTGTGAGGAGCTGTTTCATTCTCTGCTGTAGCCCCAGCACTGGAGCAGTGTCTGGCACATAGCAGATGCTCAGTAAATATTTGCTGACTAAGTGAGCGAATTAACAAGGAGATATATAATCATAAATTACAATAAGGGTATGAAGGTGCAAATAAGAGCTTGAAGGTAAACAAAGACAGGGGCTTCCTCTCAACGGGGAGGTCAAGGAAGGCCCCTCTGAGGAGGTGACATCTCTGCTAAGAGCAGAGGATGAGAAGGAGGCAGTCGTGGCCAGAGCAGGAGGTAGGAGACTTCCAGGCAGAAGCAAGAGTGGAGCAAACATCCTGAGGTGGGAAAACGTTGGCAGAGTCAAGGCGCTGAAGGGAGCAGCACAGCGGGGATGCTGTGAAAGCAACAGGTGAGGGAAGGGCCCCAGGTGAGGCAGCCGGGGCCAGATGTGGCCACGGCAGGGAGCTGGGACTTCCTTTTAAGAGCAATGAGAAGCTCTTGAAAGATTCTATCGTGACTCCCCGAAAGGAATAAAGCAGGACTTCCCTGTGCGCAGGACTTACCACCCTGGGCCAGGACCCTTTCTTTGGTCCGTCACCATCCTGGGTCAGCCAGGACCTCCTGGTATAAAAGAGGGAGGCGGGAGGATGTGAGCAAGAGCACCCTTCCGCCTGGTACCATTGAGGTGCTCCCCCATCACCCCACCAGCCAGGAGACATTGGGGAGGGGCGGGGTGGGGGATGAATGGGGAGGAGAATCAGTTGGGGTAGCTCAGGGCATCCGCATCCAGGTGATTCAGAAAATGTGCTGACAGTTGTACACAAGCTGCGATCTCACCAATTACGTGCCCCTCCAGGAGAGGCGAGGCCTTGCTAAATATAGTCCCTTACTGTTTTATTTATGTTCCTGGATACCAAGCAGAAACTCCTGAAGCCTGTCTCACCCAGCACTAAAGTGGGTGCTGCATTTGCCAGAGGTTGGAGGTGAGGGCCTGGTCACGGTGGTGGTGGGTCTTCCCGTGCAGCTGAGAACCACGAAGAGGCGACTCAGGAGTGCGGGGCAGGCCAGGGCCCCTCCGGGAGCTGACTGCCCAGCCAGATACTGGGTGAGGAACACGACCAGCTCGTGAGCAAATGTGACGGGGTTAACGACCCTTAGGATTTTGGTGACCAGGGTGACCACTGCAGCAGGCAGTGGCAGGTGGCTTCATGAAGCAGGATACCTACAAGATAACCTTCTAAGGACATCCCTTGAGCTCATACGAGCCTGGGACTTTCGAAGGACTCGAATGAGCTTAACTTAGCAAAAGTGGCCAGGGCCTCAGCACCTCTCATTCTGTTGAGGGAGTGGTGCTCCACCTCCTCCAGAGCGCCCATCCTTGTCCTCCAGGTAGGAGTCACTCCTTAAGGCCCTGCAGACCCCACCCAGGAGGCTTCTCCATCTCCCAAAACCCGCCTTATCCATTAAGGCTCAGATTAAATGCTCCCCCTTAGAGAAACTCCCTGCTCCCCGCATCAATCCACATTCACTGTGTCTACTGCTTATTTGCCTTATTTAAGGTGGGTGCTTACCTATCAGGCCCCTGAGCTTTGCAATCGCGCAGACCTGGGTTCAAATCCCACCTCTGCCTCTTACCACCTGCATGACCTCGGGCAAGCTCCGATGTCCGTTGGGACTTAGCTTCCTCATCTCACCTACAAAATGGGTCTAACACGCCTTAGAGGGTTGTGGTCGGGAGATGGTGTAAAAGTACTTTATTCACTGGCTTGCAAGTAGCAGGTGCTCAGTGCTATTCCACAACACGCTCCCCAGAAAATGTGGAGATAAATAAATGAAGAAACAAAGTCATCCATCAAGGTATCCTGTTATGTGCAAGGGTAAACTCATTAGGTGGCTGAGTTATTAGCTGATTTAATAGTAATGGGTCATTATCATCACCACCTGGCTCGTCATCACCTCCACTTTCGGGGAGGGACTTGGCTTGGGCTTCCATGGAAGCCAACCCTGATGTGATTATGTGGGGAGGGGAGGGGAGGGGAGGGAGATACAGCACAGCTGGAGTTAATCCGCCTGGACCTCTGGGACACAAGGAAGAGCCCTCTGGCTGCAGCGGCGTACAGTTATCGCAGTCAAGGGCAAGGGAGCCAGGGCATTTTTCCATCAATCCCTTGGTCCGGTCCTGCCCCTGGTGGAGGGTGGCGGGGGAGGGCGTCCGCTCTCCTGCAAGTCCCGCCGGCTGTGTGTACTGTGTTCCTGGTAGAGCCGCAGCTGTTTGTCACAGCGGCCTTCGGGGTGTCGCCATGAGCACTGCCAGCTTGGGGAAGCAAGGGCGTCTGAGGCAGGCACCAAGTCCGTTCCCTTCCCCACTGTATACACAACGCCTAGCATGCTGTCTGGTATGTGTTAGGCACCCAGTGTTGATGTATGATGACTCAATGAGCAATTCATCAACAAACCTACATAAGAAATGGTTAGAGGAGCTGAGGACAAAAAGATGGCGTGGCTCCTGCCCTTTGTCCTCACGACCTGGGGGTGGGGGCGGCATGATGACACATGAAACAGACAAAGGACAAGTCTCACTAAAAGTCCAGGAGCTAATGCCCAGGGAGAGGTGGGGGCACACTGTGACCCCCCAGGCTGGGGAGTCTTCATGGAAGAGATGGGACTCGCTAGGCCTAAAGGAAGAGTGGACTTTGGGGTAAGGGAGAGCGGTGGAGGAGGCTGAGAACAGGGTGAGCGAAGGCCTGGAGGCAGAATGTCATCACGGTTGCAGGGATACTGTGAGTAGGAGAGTGTTGGGAGCATCTCCAGTTTCTCTCATCAGGGCTAGAGTTGGGGGTGGGGAGATTTGGCCTCAGAGAACTCACAAGAACAGGGACCTGGGGGTGTGTCTAGGAAGAATCAGGGTGGGGAGCAGCCTCCAGGCAATGTGTGTCTGTGACTCCAAAGCTGCTGGGAGGGCTGGAGTCCCCATGCCTATCCACGTGCCCCATCTCCGCACCATTAAAGTTCCTCTGTGTCAGCTCTGTGCAGTGCGCAACCTAAGCATCTGTACCTGGCAGCCCTGCCTGGCTGGAATAAGGGAGGAGAGGGGGATAAATAGTGCTTAGAAACTGAGGGAGAGGGGCGCTTCCCCAGGCTGGAATGCTTGAAACTCCACACCAGCACTCCAGATCCCAGGAGAGGATGCTGTCATTACCAAGACTCAGATTCTCTGGAAGCTGAAGGACTACAAAGGTGGTCCTCATTCTGCAGTGCCTCCCACCCCTGGGAGGATGGGAGACTTAGCAGCTGTTTCCCCTGTGATGTCCCTCCATCTCTCTTTACCTGTCTCTGTTTTCATCTTTGCTGCCTCTCTCCTCACTCTCCCTGCCCCTACTTTCCTCGGCCCTACTCATCCTTCTCTCATCTCCCTCCCCCAGTGGCTGGGACCCAAAGGGGTGGGAGTGGGAGGACTAGGTGAGGCTGAGGCCCAGGACATGCTGGGAGATGTGTGGGAGGGCGTTCGGTGGGGAGGCCCTCTGAACTGGATGTTTGAAACCAAAGCAGGTCCCAGTGGGCCTCCCCAGTGTGTGGGGTTTTCTTTTCTTTTCCTTTTAAAGCATTTCACTTTGAAAGGAAGCCAGGCCCAAGTGAAGGGAGTGGGATAAACTCAGGCACATGATCAAAATGCCTTTGAACCTGGGCTGAGGGCGCTGTGGTCCTCTCCTGTTCTAGGTCAGGGGCTGCAGGAGGCTGGGAAAGCCTTGATGCCTAACTGGCAGCTAATTGAATACGGGGAGCAGGGAGTGGAGTCGGGGCGGAAAGCAAGTTGTTCAGGGCTGGGTGAGTGCCGCTCTTTTCAACTCAGTGTAAAAGCAGGTGTATTACGGGTTTTCTTGAAGGCATCTAGGCGGTGGATAGACAGGCTTCTGTTGCTTAATGAGCTCATGGTTCACGCTGTCTCCAGCTGGGGAGCTGGTGGAGGATTTTAAGGCAAAGTTAACACTGTAGTTAGTGCTAGCTGGCTACCTGTCATCACTCAGGATCGGGAGAGGCAATGATCTAATTAAAATGAGCAAACAGAAGACAAGCTTCTCAGCAGAGCTCTCCAGGTGGGGGAGGGGGAGGTCCGGTCACTCACAAAGCCCAGAAGAGCCCCAGACAGGTTTTTTTTTTTCCTCAAGGTTTGATGTGGACCAAGGAGAACTTGGAAGGGCTACTGTGGTCACCGGATGTGGAACTGAGTTTGGGGCTGGGCATTAAGGCACAGGAATTCAAAGCATGGCTGTAGAGGTTAACAGACCTGAGTTCAAATTCTGATGCTGACCTTGGGCAAGTAACTAAATCTGTGCCTCAGTTTCCCTAGTCTGTAAAATGAAAATAATAATAGCACCTACCTGGTAGGGGAGTTGTAGTAATTAAATGCAATTACACAGGGCTCAGCACAGTGTCAAGAACATGATATATGGAGAATGGATTGTAGCAGTTATGATTATGAGGGACCAGGGTTGAACAGGCTATTTGCAGGCTTCAGAGTTAAGAGTCCCATAGATGACTCACAGAGAGTGAAGAGGAGGATGGAATTACAAAGTATTAGAACAGAAGACACCTTAGCGATTAGCTAGTCCAACTGCCCCCTTTTGCAGGTGAAGAATTGAAGGTCTAGAAGAGGAAAGTGATTAGTTTAGGACCTCATGATGAACGAGGGGCAGTGCTGAGCCTAGAACAGGTCTCCAGAGGCCAAGGACGCTTCGACCGCAGCATTGGAGCCGAATCACAGATGCAAGCAAGAAATAAAGAGTGCAAAACTCTCCCCTCTGCTTGCCTTTTCCCTGCCATGTAAGAGTGAGTTATGGTGGTTTCCTTTATTTGCCATGTTCTTCTCATGTCATGATAGAAGACAAATTTTCTATCGCTGGGAGTGGCTGAATGGAGGGTGGGGGGAGAAGCCATCAGGGCCTGAGAGTTGCCCATTATCTGCCAAATAACCCAAGAGCACCAGGAGAAAGAGCAGCCACGGGTGCCTGTCGGTTGTTGTGACAAGTGTCCGGACCCTTGCCCCACTTCTGGCCTCTTTCCCCACACGACTTACGCTTCATTCCAGAGTGACTTTTCCAAATGGTCCATCTGATGAGGTTACTGCCTTTCCAAGGCCCCAAAGTGACGCGAGTCTCAAGTCCAGATGTATGGGGGCCTGGCATTCAAAGCCCTCCCTACGCAGGCCCAGCCTTCCCCCTGCCCAACCCCTCCAGCCACCCTTCACACCTGGGCTCCCAGCAGACCCTGCCTTCGTGTACCTTGCATTTTGCTGAAGCTTTCCTGCCCCATCACCCAGAGTCCTGCTCCATTTAATCCCATTCTCAACCCCCATAAGGCAAGTCAATTTGAGTTCCCTTATTATTCAGTTATGTTTACCATGACTCAGATTTCTCATACGGAAAACAGGGGTGAGTCAAGGAATTCTATGATTTTCCTGATACTTCCACATGCAACAGAGACGGTGACTTGATACCTTTGAGGGGAGGTGGGGAGCTACAAAAAGGCAGCCAGTCAACCCGAAGACCTGTAAAATGGACATATTAACCCATGTCTCACCCCACATCAAAGACTGGGATGAAATTAAAGAGAAAATAATGACCACAAAAAGGTTTAGGTCCACCACTGAGATCTGAAGTCAAATCCTCTCTCCAGGCCTTGCTTTGCTCATCTGCTAAATGCATGGGTTGGAAAAGGAGGTCTCCAGGGACCCTTTGGGCTCTGACATAACTTTCTGAATTGAAGGGTCTTAACAACCATACAGATAACCCCTGGGGAGAGAGGAGGAGAATTTGATCACCGAAAGGCACAAAGAGGGCTTCAAATATTTTCTTTCTCTAAAAAGGATCTGAGACAAATAAGTGAATCTTTATATTTTTTCAGTATGAGTGATGGGTGTTTTTCGTATTATTTTCTCTATTTCTATATGTCACAAATCTTTAATAGTTTTGAAAAAATTTGGTGATCCTCTTCTCAGTGGTAACTATTTCCCTGACTTTCTCCATTGCAACAGGAATCTGCAAGTGCAAACCATTTATCAGTGTAAGAGACTGGAAGTGGCAAGATTCCTCCACTGCAGGAGGTAGTCAAGCAGAGGTCAGATGGGCTCTAAATCTTGTGGAAATGGTTTGTACAGAGGGTGAAGGTTGGACCCTTCTAATTCGCAGGTCTTGCAAAGCCAGGGCCGTGGGGCTACGGGCACTGTCCTTGGTGCTGAATCCCACACCAAGGAACTTCTGAACACAGACCATGGAAAGCAGAGTAATTCCTTGCATTCTTGTCACTTTAAGATAAATTATCACTGCAATTTCTAGGACATTCTGGTGACCAAAACGACAAGAAGAAGCCCTTCTTAGAG